CGTAAATATGGTCGTAAAAGGTGTGCTGGATGTGAGAAACATCGGTAAGTAAACATTTACCACTGTGTAGAGCATATTGAAGATTCATGGTTAACTTACTTTCTTTCTCTTTCCCCTTGTATTTTTCATCTTTCTATTATTCTTTTTCTTTCTTTTTTTTCTTTTTATTTTAATTTTTATTTTTTTATATTTTTTTTATTTTTATATTTTTATTTTTATTTATTTTTTCTTTTTATTTTTATTTTTTGCTTTTGTTTTTCTATTTCATTTTCTTTCCTTTTACTATAACTTTATCTTTTCCATTTTCTTTTCCTTTTGCTCCTTTTTCTTTGTCTTTGTCTTGTTATTTTTCTTTCCTTTCCTTTTGCGTTTGTTTTTATTTTTATTTTTATTTTTATATTCTTTCTTTTCCTTTTCTTTTTCCTTTGCTTCCTTTTTATTTTTCTTTTTTATTTTTCTATTACATTTAATTTGCTTTATATTTTTCTTTTACTTTCTTGTTTTCCCTCTATTGCTCCTCTACTTTCCTGCTGGCATTCTAAAATACATATTTAGAACCTTTGATATTTCATGCCAATATACTTTTGGCTTCAATTGGTTTTTTGCGCTTAGCCGCCAAATGGCCAAAGTTAATGCGAAAGTGGCAACGTGTGGAACGCCAGCTGCCACCACATCAGACGTGGCGTGAGCGTGAGGCATTGTCAGTGCGCGTTCACAAGGTGACTTTTGTGCTGATTACTTTGTCGCTGAGTAAGTTACTTAAGACGACAACAACAACAACAACAATCAAATAGCTTGAAAAACGCTACTTTACAGTTAATTCGCATTCATTTCTTGTGATTTCAGCTGAACACCTGCTAAGCACCATTTCAGCTATTCACTTTGCCAATTATTGTCCTTCTCGTAACGATCCCATCGAATCCTATTTCATGTCGGTTGTTTCACAAATTTTTTTCGTCTTGGACTATTCCCCTTGGCTGGCATGGGTTGGAAAAATTTTAAATGTGCTGATGACATTCGGTTGGAGTTACATGGATGTGTTCCTAATGATAATAGGCATCGGACTGTCGTCGTTGTTCGGACAGGTGCAGAGCAGTCTGCATCGCGTAAGAGGGCAGGTAGTAGCATATGTAGTATTTAGTTGCGCAGTTGAACTATGCATTTGCCAATTTCATTTGTCTTCATTTTCAGGTTATGCCCGAGTCATATTGGACACATACTCGCCTGCAATATCGCCTTATTTGTGATTTGATAGAGCAGGTAGATGCTGCTGTATCTGGCATAATTATGCTTTCGTTTGCTAATAATCTTTATTTCGTCTGCATACAGCTGCTCAAAAGCATGAAGTAAGTCAATTTCTAAAAAAAAGAATGCACAAAAATTGTAGATCTCCAGCATACATATGTAGAAGAAAAGTTTGACTATTTATGATAGCGTGTCTTTAATACTGGGTCAATTGGTCTCCAAAACCTTTATAATCCATGCACTTTTAAAATCCAAGCACTGACTAGTACTCGCCGCGCCATCTGTCGTTCGGTACTTCAGTAAGTCTCTCAGGAATGAGTAGCTTCGCGACCATGGAGGTTGTCGACTATTCTTGAGGGATTTGAATGCCGTCTGGCTGTCAAGGCAGATTTAGATATCAACTTGGGGTATCATCTCACAGTTTACCATTTTTTGACCCTGTATTTTGCCATTATTCCACCTGAAATACGCTTAAGTGGTCCGCAAGACGAAAGCTGAGAGAGATCCCCAGATGTTCGGAGTATACGCCGCCACCAACCCTACCATCGAGCTTTGATCCATCTGTGTATACATGCATGGAGTCGCCAATCCTTGCAGCGTCTCGCTTCCACTATTCCCTTAACGGTAGGAGGGTCGTTAACACTTTTTTAAATTTTTTAATTTTTCAAAACACATTTGGAATATAAAATCTAAACATTTTTTTCTATATAATTTTAAAATTTTTAATATAAAATGTTGATTTCCATAAAACACGTACTGATCGATTAAAGTATTTTCTAAAAGACGGTTACTCATTTCAAGCTTTTTAATTAGTCTTATAACCGATTCACTTTTAGTATAATAAAGTGAAAATTCGAAGTGGCTGAGACTAACCATTGATTTTTGGCAATATTCCATGCAAAAACTCATGTTGAAAATTTTTTTATATGGACGAAAAAGGGCAACCCATTCAACAAAAAAAAAAAATTACCAAAAATCAACGGTAAGTGTCAGCTACTTCAAGCTTGCACTTGATTAGCCTAGAATAACATGGACTACCAAACTACCAACTAATTAAAAATCTTGACATTTTAACGAATTTAAAAAATTCAAAATTTTAAAATTTTGTAGAATTTTTTTTGAGATTTCATATTGCAATAATGTTTTCAAAAAGGCAAAAACAAAAGAAAAACGGTTTCAATCAGCCCATTTTTCACAAAATTACGAGCATTAAAAAAAAGGATTTTTTTTCCAAAATCGATATCTTTAAAACGGTTCTATAAAAAACCAAAAAAAAGTAAAACTAAATCGGGGAGGCCTCCTTCGATTGGTTCTAAAAGAAAAAATTATAAAAAAATCGCAGGTGCAAAAGCCAAATGATGTCCGTTTTCTGTGGCCACATGCGTCAGGCACATGTCCAAGCGTAGAATACAGACACTAAAAAAATTAAGAGTTTTATTGATGAGCATCAGGATGCACCACTCTCCATAAAACAAAAAAAATGGAAATTATAACATTATAAAATATATTATATTTTAAATTGTTTTTTTGTTATATTTTCAATTGTATCAAAACTTAAAAAATGTATTATATTTTAAGCCTTCCGCTAAAATATTTCGGAAAAATATTAAGATATATTTGAGCTGGGCCCACCTTAAAAAATTTCGAAAAATCCTGTGTTTATAAAAAATTTGTTACTAAAAATATATTTTTTTTAACCAACCAAAAATATATTTTTTTTAACAAACCAATATTTTGAAAAATCCTGTGTTTATAAAAAATTTGTTACTAAAAATATATTTTTTTAACCAACCAATCTAGCATAAATCCTATAATTTTTCCGAAATATTTTGTCGAAAATTTTAAAAAGTAATAAATTTTTTAATTCCGGTGGAAAAACCGCACCGTTTTTAAATGATGCACCCTAACCATTGTATGTATTTAGATATTTATTTATTAGACGAATAAAAAGTCGCTGATGCGAATTCATTTGTTTTCATTACACTGTAGGGACACAGCTTTAAGTTGACAAACAATCTTTTACTTTTAAATTTTTTTCTATTACAGATTGCAATTTTTTTTTTTTGTTTTGTAGCATTTTAACTTCCCTACAGTGTTATTTTTCCTTTTTCGTTGCCAGCAAAATGCCATCTGTAGCACACTTAGTCTACTTCTATGCCTCACTATTTTTTCTCTTGGGTCGCACACTGGCTGTATCACTTTATCTCGCTGAGGTCAACGATCGTTCGCGCGAACCACTGGAAGTGATAAAACAAGTACCCAAAGACGGTTATAACGCGGAAGTCGATCGATTTGCGCACGAGCTGGCTATGGATACAGTTGCGCTGACTGGACTGCAATACTTTAATGTTACCCGGGGACTGGTCTTGACAGTAAGAACTTACATAAATATGTACATATTTGAACCTTATTACCCTAAATCATAAAAAATAAAATAGATTTAAAATGCTATAAATAGAAGTAAGCAATGGAAGAATTGTATGATAAAATCACTTCATAGAGCTTTTCAAATCTATTTTGTTTTCAAAGAATAAATAAGGGCATGCATCTTAACCTTAATTTAACTAAAAAATTCTTTAGTAATTTTATTTACCCATTTTTTTAGGTCGCCGGAACAATCGTTACCTATGAACTGGTGCTTATACAATTTCACGAAGATCAAAAATTATGGAATTGTAATTGACTTTGTTTATAATTTTTTAGTTCGAATGTTTAGAGTCAATGGTTTTACTCTTTATAGACAGTACTTGTATTTGTGTAATAAAACTCCCTGAAAAAAATTGTACAACTAATCTCTATAGAGAGTATTCCAAGATTACTCTCAATCGGGCACAATTGGGCATTAATTAGTCGCAACTAGTCTCATACGGGTACTAATGGGGATTAGTCTCGACTTATCCCTTACGGGTATAATTGGAGATCAATTAGGCCAGAAAGATCTTGCAATCTAGTTTTAGCCTTCACGCTAGTTGAAGTTATATGAGGCCCAACCGTACAAGAGTGAACCGAAGGAGGAAAGAGGCGTCTCCAGCTGTTCCATGCCTGGTAACAATGTTTCAAGGGCGTCTTCCCTTGCCCGGTCATCAGCCATGCAGTTTTTCGCAAAGTCATTGTGGTCGGAAGTACTCCGACGCGGTTGATAGAGAGGTCAGACATTCCTTTACCGATCTCGCGTTCAGGGCCCTGATAGCGACCTGGCCATCAGAGTATATGCTTACCTCCCTAACTGACATCACACTCTTCTGCAGTGAGCCTACCGCGTCCTTGGCTGCAGCTATTTCCGCCTAAATGACACTGCAGAAGTCCCCGAGGCAGAACATAGGTTCGATCAACCCTTCCTCCAAGTTTTGATCCGTCTGTGAAGAAGTTCATAGCTTCTTTCTTCTAGTGACCCCACCCCACCTAGTCCTCTCTTTTGGGAGTGTAGGTAGAGACGGAGATACTGTAAGCCATTTTGGAGGCACAGTAATCTGTCGGTTGAGAGATAAAATCAAACCCCTCCAGAACTTTAGGATGTCCAGTTTTCGAGCCAGTTAACCACCCGGGTTCTCTGAGCTTAATGAAAGTTCGCGCTGCGACAAGTATGCTTGCAATATCTACAGGCATAATGTTAAACATGGCCGTAAGTACAAGTGTAGGTGTGGTTCTTTATGTACCTCTAATGCCGATACGGGCAAACGGTTGCTCGCGTTCCAGTTGCTTAGCAAGTTAAGCTTTCTCTAGCGAGTTTCACCAGGAGAAGGCTCCGCAAAACAAGATAGGCTTAACTATGGTTTTTTAGAGCCAATGAATTACCTTGTGCGAGAGACCCCACCTCTTACCGTGAGAACTAATTCTTGATGAACAGTGAAGTTCCGTTATGATATTTCGACTCTCCGCATGAAAATTAGTCAGATAGAGTTCTGTTAATATACCCTTAAGAACACCTTGATCCCACAGATGCATCGCCTGCTAGAAAGACCATGCAGTGCAAAATGTATCGGCTTTCATTGAAATCCCACGAGGCCAAGACTCTCTCTTTTCTCGGTGAGACGAGCTCAAGTGTGTCTTTACTGGCCAACTACTCATACGCAACGCTGATTCCTGCAATATCACATTGACCTAAAAATCCCATAAGTTTGAAATAATCAAACGCGACCTTTAAATAGGTCACTCATTTTCCTATTGAGTGAGTTCGAAGCAATGATTGCCGCTTGGCTGTTGGAATATATATACAACTAACTTGTCGATGTTACGTTAGCGTCAGACGAACGCTTCCAATTGATTGACGGGTTGGTGTACTATATATGTATGCATGATTGAGAGAAATAAATTTTTCGCAAGAATGATAGAATACAAGATTGCGCCGATCAGAGAGGATTTTTGAGAATAACTCTTGTGTGACGTCACACTGGTGCAATCGCGAGAGCGAAATGCCAAACGTGAGCAAGAATGGAAGAAGAAGAAAAAATGTTGCACAAGTGTGACGTCATGCAAACAACGAGTCTGTCAAATTCGTTAAGAGAGGAATAGCGGTCCGAGATCGGCGCAACCTTTGTATTCTCTCAATCGTGGAGGTTTCGCCTATCACGGTACCGCTATTCCTCTCTCAGTGAATTTGACAGAATCGTTGTTTGTACGACGTCACACTTGTGCAACTTGTTTACGTTTTCCTTGCAACATTTTTTCTTCTTCTTCCATTCTTTCTCACGTTTTGGCATTTCTCTCTCGCAATTGCACCAGTGTGACGTCACACAAAAGTTATTCTCAAAAATCCTCTCTGATGGGCGCAATCTCGTATTCTATTATTCTTGGTATGTATGGACATATCGAATACAATTATAGGGCTCGGAAGCAACCTTCACTATAGAAATACTGCAAAGGTTCGAATAAAAATTCTAAAGGCAGTATCATACGAGTGGGCAGTTGCCAAAAATTTTGTGCAATCGTATACCCAATCGTGTGAATGAAATATTTTTCTTTATCCCAATCACCAAAAACCTTTTGTTCAAATTTTTCAATAGAACTTCGCTGTATTATACCAATCGTGTAACAAAAATAAAAAGAAAAAAATTCTTCCCAATTTTCTTATTTTGTACCAATAGCCCAATTTAAAAAATGTACAAATCTGTACAAATGTACCAATCGTGTGACACTGCCTTTAGAATAATTATGAACGCTCCGCTATATGCCACAAACAACCAAATACATTGTGAACTAAAAATTTCTACTGTTGCTGCTGAAAAAAAGTACCGCTTGGCGCACCGAGAAAAATTCATGATCACTCAGATCCTCTTCTCATAGAGTATCACTCCAGTGACTTAAAAGAAAATAAATATTAGATATCTACTAATATTGAATACCTGCGGATAAAATACAGTTGTACTACTGGGTGTACTCCATACACGAATAATTTTATTTACTAAAAAGTTTTAAATATTGCTTAAAGATAAAATACAGATCGCAATAAAATATATGAATTTAAAAAGAGAAACCATTGGACCAACAATTAAAGCATTGTAGAAATGGAAGCAGCAGCAAACACAACACAAACAATAAATGAAAAACTTCAAGTGTAAAACCAATATCCAATCCGAAGTTTTTACGGTTACCGCAGTTGAATGTACGCATGCATGTATTTATGTATTTTTGTATACGATATGATACAGATTCCTGATAATTGTGCTGCAACGTTGTCCTTAAATGCGGTTTAAATTCCAATTAAAAACAATTTAAATGTGAAAAGGATAAACATTTTGATGGTCAATGGTATGACTGTGTGTACATATACTTATAATAAACTGAAATTGATTGCTTTTGCACTAATTTGATTGCTTTTGCTTGAACTTGATTGAATGTGAAAACTATCACTCTATCACTTAACATTTTGCATCGACTTTATAAACTTATTGGACAACAATAAGAAAATAAAATAATTTTCGGAAAACTAAATGCAATATAAAAATATATTACTTTTTAAAACAATAAAATCTAGCAATTAAAAGTAAACTGGATTGAAAAAGAGAAAATAATAAAGAAGAAAAATATACGTTGCTTAAAATTAAATGAAATTAAAAAAATATAGTTTTCTTTTTAAAACAATATAATCTTGAACAGAAAAATATTAGATTAAAAAACGAAGGCAAAAATATATGTTCCTAAAAATTAAATGTAATGAAATTAGCTAAAAAAATGTGTTTCTTTGTATAATAAGATACAAATTAAATAAAAAATAACAATAAAAAAAATTAAATGAATTTTGAAAAATTAAATGTACTAAAATAAATTTGTTTCTTTTTAAAACAATACAGTTGAAAAAAATGAATTAAAAAAGAAAAAAATACCGCCCTAAAAATTAAATTAAATTAAAATAAACTTGTCTTCTTAAAACAATCAAATATAAAACTATAAAGAATTTTTAAGTAAGAAAGACAAAAAATATTATTAAAAAAAAATCGAGGAATCGACCCCGGATCTCTCGAATGAGACTGAACGCGAGCAGAATTATATACAAAAAAAGGCTTTCAACTATCTTAGCCAGAATTGCTTTGATAGCAGATGTTTTTGCGTAAAAGCCTTCTACGTCAATTGAAAGGAAGTCTTGGTAATTATTATGAGGACCCTACGCTCATAATTTCAAAGCTAGATAAAGGAGTGGGTGGAGTAGCAAACAAATTCAATATTTATCTACAACGACAATCAAATTTCTAGACGGCTGTGATGCTGCCAGGTCAAAAGAGGCCCCGCCTTGGGAAACCTCAGAATCAAACACGCAAAGAACCTGGAAATTGTGCCGAATAACCTAAGAAGCCGCCTAGATTATACATACTAGCACAACCCTACTCTGTTTAACGAAAAAATTCTCCATAAGAATCCCAGAGAGGAACTAATGGTAAGGTGCCACAGACCTAGACGGCTATCTTTATAGTTGTTTCCAAGCTAAATGGCAGAGTAGGCAGCGGTATTCACTCCAGTGTACTCGCACTAAACCCAACCTGTATACTCTGACAGCCAAGAACACGGCAACGTTGATAAAAATCATTTCCCACTTTCACATTAATGAAAATAAAAATTTTATATTTCCTCTTATCCTTCTCACTCACCCAATGAAGCGGATATAAGAGGGATATATTTTCGGAAAAATATGTTCATAGCTTGTAACAATTTATGTATGTAAGTACGTATGCATGTAATTCAAGTAACCTTTTTGATGCGCAGCTTGCAATTCTTGTGTTATGGTAAAATAATAAAATTGTTTTAGCTCAGACAGAATTTTTTATTTGGTCACTACATATGTATAAATGTAAGCCCTACTCACAACCAGTTGGCTTTAGGCGAAAATCACTGTTTTTCATTTTTGTAGATAAATCATCAATAACAATGCGGTTTGGTTGGAAAAGGTTTATAAAGTAAACCTATTAAAATGTAGGTTAGCCTGTTGATGCAGCATATAAACAAACATCCGTGATATTTTGTTTCAGGCTTTCACTCTTTACTATACATATTTTCATTTTGGCATTTTATGCCAATAGCCGCATGTTTCCTTAAAGGTATTGAAAGCAGACTGACAACTGGAAAGTTTTAATTTTTTTCTCTCGTTTTATGGTTTATGTATGTATGTGCATTTGTATACATACAAGCATACCCATAAATATATTGCGGCATGATTTTGAGGTATGTATTCGTGGGAATCAGTAGGAGGGA